ATGAGCGAAATCGAATTTTCGACCCTTGCCGAGTTATTTTCCATTTTTATGGACAGGGACTCTTAAGTATAATTTCAGCCTTGGTAACTAATTATAATGTCTTTTATCAAAGCATTCGTTAGGTTTAGAATTTGTTTATTTCGCCACGTCTCTTTTCGGAATCCAACAAAGCACTTCTTTGTTCTGTTGTTAAAACTAGCCTCCAGGCAGATATGACTACCGCAGACAAAGAGCTCGTTTCCACTACGTCTGTTTGAGTCACAGGGAAAGATTAATTGGGGTCAAATTTGTCAAACAGTGCGAAGCAAAAAAGGAAAAAATTCAGCTCACTGTGCATCTTTTCTCTGATAAAGCAAGCTCTTTCGGCCAAGTAGAGCACGCTTTATATGTAAACTTTATTATAAAATGTTAGGAAATAAACCAAAGCAAATACGCGCGCTGATTGGTTCAAATCCGTGAAAGGGAGGTGAACATTGGTGAATATTCACCGAGACGAAGTCGATGTGAATATTTACCAATGTTCACTGAGCCTGAGGCGAATAATTGTTTTAGTACAATTTTCAGAGCTGAACAAAGAGGACTACAGAATAACGGACTAAAACGTAAAAACACAAAGGAAATTGTTCTTTTGCATACACGTATGCAGCCGTAGTTTTAATAATAAGCTTACATGCACATCGATTGCGAATCAATTTACTCATTGAGTTCGGCAGTAAAACAGGCGAAACACTACGAAAAATAAATTTATCCGGTACCTTTGTTTCATCGTTGTTGCGTTCTTGTACAGTTGTCATCATCGTCTAAAAATGAGTAGCTTTAGTTTGAACAAAAATAAATCTGACCTACTGGCGATCAACGCAACCACTGCGTTTACGATTCTTAAATTCCTTGAATACGAGTTCTTGAAAGGCTTTTTGGTCTAAGGGCGACAGCAGTCATTTTGAAAATTCTCCATCCTTTCAAATATCCTGGACTTGGAGTGATGTCTTCCGAATAAATGAAAAATTCATTCAGCAACTGTACGCCATGTTTACTTGAGAGATGGCAAAGGTGGCGAGCTAAGTAACTAGGCCTAGAAAATGTTATATTCATCGCCTGGTGAACAAAGGAGACTTTTCTGCGCATGAGCGAAAAAGTAAAAAAAAAGTTTTACCGTTTTCGCACTTTTGCTTGAACACGCGGTTTTCGGTGCTGCTAAATTTGACAACCGAACTTTCGAAGGAGAATCATTCTTTAATTGGTCCTCAGTGAATCATGTAAGGCATGTTACCGTGAAAAGCAATTTAAAGTGAAGAGAAAACTGCCCGTTTCATTTCGCTTATGGCAATTTTAGGGTCGATAAACTGCTTTTCGTTCACATATGTCACCGACAAAGATGGCGATTTCCTTGGAACAAAGATGAAGCAAAGCAAGCGTTGATTCACTTTTGCAGTGCTTTGAAGAGTACCACAGGTCTTATTCGACGCCAACCAAAAGGAACATGGCTACTGTGGTAAGTAAAAGTATTACTGGTTCCTTGAGTTTATATTTTAGATTTTTATTCGTCTCATCTTGCGGAGATGAGAAAACCATGTTGTTCTCATTTTCGGTTTCAAAGTGTGGTTAAACAAGAAAATCTGACCATTTCTTTTTTCGTCAGTCCTTCACTAAATTCGAGTCCAGCATTGCTATGAAGTTGTTTTTCATATTCTGGGTACCTTTGTGTTTTTGAGTTAAACCATTTCATTTTCAAGTGAAGTGAATGTTGTGATCGATAAATGAAATTTTTGTTTAATTCAAAATTAAAATTTGTCTTCAAACCTCTGAGACTTTTGTACTCCTTCGTGACATGTGAATTCCATTAATGGGTGACTGTTTAATGTGCACTATGCCCTGGCAAAATTTGGTACCCTGTTTCCGGTGTTCCTCTGTTTACTATTAGTCGGGTGAGTGATTTGAGGTCGGAATTAGATTCTAGAAATTCAGTTTATAACGATTCGCGTTTTACAGCTCTTAAAATGAGCGGCATGGTTTTATACTGTTGAAGAAAAGCATTCATTTGATTTAAGTTGAGTGAAAGTTTACTCCAGCCAACCCTTGTTGTTATAAACCTTATCAAACAAAATATCCC